ATGCACATGCTGCTCCAAGAGCCACCCACATCCTTCTTGTATACAGGGTGTATTTGCATTGCAGCCTGTCCCAGTGCAAACATGGGAAGGGGGAAAAATTCAACCTCATCTTTAGTGTTAGTTGCCTTCTCCATCTCTAGAATTACTTGGAGATAATCTTGATCACTCATTCAATTAAGATTTATTGTATTACCTTTTCTAGAAATATGGGCCATGTAGATAAAACCATAGTTACGTTGTCACTTTTAAAATCTCTGCCCCAAATGTTTGGGTCAAGAAGAAGAAAAGAACTGTTTTGGTTTTAACATGCAAATCGGTTTGTCCCTTGAGTTCTGCGTTTTGTTCTGCTGTCCCAAAGTAGGGTAGCACTTGAGCATGAGCTTAATTTTAAGCATGTGCTGAAATCTTTGGGAACTGGAGGGGGTGGGGCGTGTGCTTAATGCTTTTTTTGAACAATGTTGCTTTTCAGAGTTGAGGACTTTGTAGGAAACGTGATCCTTTAAACTAGCTCCTGTTTATGTACATTTCAATTTTATAATACTGTAAGTTTTTCCCTTCTTTCTTTGATATCCTTGATGCTACATCATATAATGAAAACAATACTGGTCATGCCACTTGCAATTACTGAAGTAGGCAGTGAAATTATTTTTTTCTGAAGGAACTAGGGAAATCACGTAAATCACAGGTTTACAAATGGTTTCCCGGGAGAGGTCCTCAGTAGTTGGCTGCATAGAATGACAAAAGTTTTGTTTACCCATAAAAGGGTGGCCATCTCAGCAGGTCAGTGATGTTTTTCAAAGAAGTATTATTGATTTTAAACTAGCTGGTAATTTATTCCTTGAACTCTGGCTTACAAAAATAAAACAGGGTAAATATTGAATATAATAAAGGCCACGCTGCCATTCAGTATGTGCAATGCCCTCACCTTCCCTCTCCCACCAGCTTCTCTCCATTGTTGGCTTCTGCATTTCTCGTAGGGCATGAGCTGACCTCCACGATTATTTATGGCGCTGTTTAGATAAGTCCATTTTTCACAGGCAACACACATACACACACTCACGAGGGCTGTTATAATTTGAATTTATATTGCAAGTTCAGCTATCACTTCCTCTGTTCCCACCCTGCCTTTTGGAAAGATACCCAGTCACACGATGTGCTTGAAAAAAGGTTGCTGATTAAGGAAGGATGCAGGAAGGATATGGTTTTGCAGTGATTGCATAAGTGCTGTGTAGGACCCGAAAGCCTTGGGTTTATATGAGGACGAGTTTAGATGTGAATTTCTTCTGATCTTTACATAAGTCGTAACTCCTGAGCCGTTTGCCTGCTTTAGAGAACTGCGAAGCAACCCATCTTAATGTGATCCTCTATGTGTTAACATGGACAAATATAAATTTGTAATTGGCACCCTGCCTCTGTTCCATCAGAGATCTCAACCTTATTTCAGAGAAACTGTCCCCAAAGCTTCTGCTTGAAATTGTTGGATGCAATTATGTCTAAGCAAATGTACCTCCCATCAAAATCTTTTTGGAGTTTTGCTGTTTGCCTCAGATGGAGAGTACTTAGGTTAAGAGAGAGATCCTTCCAAAAAATGCTGTGTTCCCCCTCAGTGAAGTCCTGAGACCTGAAGACCCTAAAGCTTCATGTCACCCATTACTGTAATGAGAGTGTATTTATTGCTGTAAAATGAAGGAGCTGGGGCATGGAGATCTGTATTTTAAAGCTTTGTTTTGGTCATTCCACGTTCTTCCAACATCTAACATCTGTATTTATTTTTTGAACTCTCCTTAATGGATTATATGCATCTGCTCAGTTCCAAGAATAATGCTTGATTTCCTGAATTTATAGGTTGCAATAAAATCCATTCGTAAGGACAAAATTAAGGATGAGCAAGATATGGTTCACATCAGACGGGAGATTGAGATCATGTCATCCCTCAGCCACCCTCATATCATCACCATATATGAAGGTTAGTGAATGTGATTCTCCTCCTTGACTGCTCTGTTACGTTCTTGCAGACCTGATGTTCATGTTTCTTGAGATCATGCACCAAACAAACTCCTACTCCGACTCTTACTGTAACCAAAGAGACTGTTTTGAGCACTACCTTCCCTCTGAACCACCAGTGTTTCACAGATGCATTACTCTTTGCCTGGAGGAGCTTCTTTATGTGTGAGTTAAACGCTGTGTCCATGGCAGATGGGAAATCGTTGCATGTGTTGCCTCATCTCCTTGCTCCTGTTGGACAGTTCAGTTTAATTTCACCCTCACTCATGCACCAGCCTGATGTCCATTTATGTTCCCGGCCCCTAAACCAGTCCTTGTATGCTTTATTTTCCCTGGACTGCACAAGACCAGTCTTGTCTGCTCCAGGCCTTTGGTCCTCCCTTGCCTGCCAGTTAGTCTTGCTTGTTCTGTCATTGCTGCTTTTCCCCCTGAATCCCAGCATCCGCTTCCTATCCATCTCTGCACACTTTCCTGTCAGTCTGGTTGGTGGCTTATCATTCCTGTTTCCTTATCCTGTCTTTCCCCTCTAACTCCTTTCTTCCTGGGACACAGCTGGGAAGCCTGCTAATTCCTGCCTCTGGGAGCTGCTCCCTGGTCCTACAGCAAGGAGCAGGAAGCCAAGGGCATTCCTCCCCGATTTGCCGGTTTGTTTGTTTATATGTTTATAGAATGTCACTCTGTAGTAAAATCTCCTCCTCCTTCCTTCCTTCCTCAAGTAACATCCCAGCTAGAGTTCAGGCCAGGTACGTGCTAAAAGACACCAGCCAAGAGGGACTGTTGCTGCAAGGAGGGCGGCTGCATAGCAAACTCGGAGTGTGGGTTCCAGAGGTTCGGAGGGACCTGGGTTGGGCCGCCTTGTCCCTTTTCCCTGTGTGCAGAACAGGCAGCCCTTCATATTTACATACCCGTGAGGTAAATGCGCAAGGTGATGATATGTATATGGCAGCTCCGCTCTGAGAGTTGATACGACTGATTAAAACGAGCTGGCTTGGAGTACTGTTACAGTATCGCATATTGAGTTATTCAAAAGCATGTTCTTGTACTTGAAAAGAGATGAATATCTGTCTTTTTATTGAATAAACTCATAACAGGATCTGGGAACAGAAAAGGGGAGGGATGCTGTGTCAGCATGTGGGTTGCAAATGGAACAAAAGTTATTTCAAATGTGGACAGGAACTCAGAAAGAAGAAAGATTAAGCGTGCTGCAGTCCTTTGACCAATTGCCCTTCTCGTCCTTACTTGAAACAGTTTTTACTGAGTTAAGACATTTGTAAAAGTTAAAAAGATTACAGCATTTTTAAGAAACAGATAATAAAGTCCCACGGGAGCAAAACTTTCCGCTCTGGCCCCATGGAGGGAGGAGCAGTGCTTCTGCGGCAGAGCCAGTCAAGCTCCATGATGGAGGGCTCATCCTGTCTGCAGGAGGGCGAGCACCTATGGCAGGTGATGTTGTGGTCCTCTTGTGGTCCATCAGCCAGCAGCAGCACTTTGCATCAACAAATCTGGAGGCAGTTTTTTCTCTCATTTCTGGGAAGTTTTCCATTCTGTTACTGGTTTGTTTCCTTTTCTTTTTTCTAGAGAACAGAGCAACCTTTAATGGCTTCTTATGTTTAATTCCTGGCCTGAAGGGATGGGCAGTGGAAGTCAGCTTCTTGGTTGCACTGTAGTCCCTTGGAAGGAGTTACATAGAGCAGAGCTGTAGCAGCTATACAGCTCATCCAGGCCTTCAGCAGCCAATGTTGTAACTTAGATATTGTAGCACTGGGAAGACGTGTGGTTGCGCAGCTGATTCCAGAGGAGCAGTTACATACTGCTCAGAGATAAGGATGTGAGCTCAGGGATCCTTAAGTGTGTGCTTCATTTTAAGCTGAAGAGTACTTGTAGTGAAGTTAAGGGACTACATCTAGGACTGAAGCATTTGTATCCTCTTGAAGTTGGATTTTAAACACATGGCTGTTCCTCTTGAGTGATGCATAAAGAGTGATAATATTGCTATCCTCTGACACAAAATGTTGAAGTTATTCAATCCTGAGGGATGGGCTTAATCTCATCAAATTTAAGCCATCCAACATTTAGGCAGCTGGTGTACACTAGAAGTCTAGTTTCCCTCTCTAGTCAAGAGAGATCAGCATCTACACAGGCTGGTTTGCTCCCTCCTGAGAGATATTTTTTCAGATGGGTGGGATAAATGACATACTGGAGGCTCCTGTTGGCTATAGATGCAGTCTAGCTGACTAACTTAGATCAGATGCTTAACTTTTAAACTGAAGCCACCCCACAGATATTTTTCTGCTCTCTCACTAATTTTTACTGTAGGTTTTCAGACTGCCGCTGCACATCTGACGGCTCTTTCTGTAGATGCCAGGTTGCACAGATCTACCTAGCATGGACAATGCTGTATCTCCATGTAATATCATTGAAAACTCTTTGTATTACATTTACAAACATGTGTTTTCCTTAAGTAGGATCCTTGTTTAGGTATCCTTTTGACCTGCCTGCTTAAAAGCAATTAATCTCTGAATTTGTCAACTTGATGTAAACACAAGCTTATCTTTTTTTTTTGTTGTTGTTTTTGTTTTTGTTTTTTTTTTGTTGATACCAAGCAAATTCAGATGTGTGGAAACAAAGCTTTCTAGTTTAGATATATTTTTTGCAACCAAATCAAAAGGCACGTACCTTGCCCGTTACTGCGAGGGCAGATGTACTGTTGTGACTCCAAAGAAATTCCACCCTCTCAGCAGGGCTGTAATTGGCAATCTGTTGAGCGCAGCTGCGAGAGAAGTGCTCTTTCAAGTGACTTTAAACTCCTTGAAAGGGACTGGATAAATGAAGCTGGCTTTGCTAGCAGTGTTCTGATTTCAGCACATAAATTTTAATTTATAGAATAATGCCTCTGTCCATTCATCTGTCTGTCTCCCCCCCTCTGCCCCCTGCCCTTCCCCTGCCCTACTTCTTTTTTTCCTTGAAAACTCCAGGATTTGATAAAAAAGCCTTTGAGAGCCAACATATTTTTCCAGGGGTAGCCTGAGTGCAAAATCTGCCTCATCTGGCAATACTTTATAAAAGTTAAACCAGGGAAAGGGCATCAGGCCTGATTCTGCAAACATTTAAACGTGTGTTGGACCAATCATGAGAGTGAAGTTATGCTTGGTACATTCAGGAGCGAGCTCTTGAGTCTTTGCAGTCTGAAATACAGTGCCTATGTGAGTGTTTCTGTGCTGGAAGACTTGTCCTTGGTCAGCATAACCATACAGAAAAGTCCACCCATTTGCAAAATGCTCTTAAAAATGAACAGATTATTAGCTAACACATTTGTAGAAACAGTTTAACAAAGATATTCCCTGAAGAATGCATAAATATTAGGATCACGATTTGGTGCCCATGGAACACGATGGCATTAACATGAACGAGTAACTGAAGGAAAGCATGTGCTGAAGTGCTTTGCTGGATCGGGGCCAGGATGCTTAGAACAGTGCTGGACCCTTCACAGCAACAAGGCACAAAAATTGGATTTCCCATGTAAGAGGGACTTCTTACTTTTTTTTTTTTTAGGTTGCATTTTTGGTACTCTTAAGAAAAAGCATAGAGATTCTCCTTCATGTATCTACCAGTCCACAATGACTTGAGCTAGGTTGCATGCTTTGATTAATCAGGAAACTGGTTCAGCTCTTCTGTACTTTCAAATCCCAAAGACAAGGGAAGAAGATCCGACAGCATGTAATGGTGGTGGCATAGTATTTCATGACACTCATCTTACTTGCCAAATACACGTTCAATCTCACACTTTACGCTAGACTTCATGCAACAAAAAGCAAATACACACTTGGTGTTTCAGACACACATAGGCCTGTGTCCAGTGCAGGGCTCCTTGAGTTGTGTCAGTCAAGTCACTACGTCGTCAGCAAAAGCAGCCACATTGCCAAAAATCTCCCTGGGTGGCAGCTGGCGAGGTGTGCGGACGTGAGCCATTGCTGACAAACTGCATCCCCCCCCAGCAGCGCCAGCTCAGTCAAACGTCCCCTGCCATCGGCTGCGATGCGCAGCCCTGGATGAGGCAGGCAGTGGGGAACAGAGGCGGCAGCTCACACCATCGCTGGGTTTGTGCGTGGGCAGAACAGAGTTACGTGTCTCAGGCTGACAGTGCTGCGGAGGCAATCCCAGCCTCTGTCCCAGCCTCTGCTATTTCCTGGTTTTCAGATGTAATCAAAACACACTTTGGTGCCTAATGACTTCATCCCTTCTGCGTGCAAAACACCTGAAAAAGTCAAAAGTCCCTTAAAACATCACGTGGACAACTGGGCTTTAAACAAGAATGATGAAAGCTGGAAAGCTGGAATGATTTTTTTTTTATTTAGCCAAGAGAAAGTACTTCAGCAGTGACACTATTTAACCACCTTTCTAATTGATTTCCTCTAATTATGTAGGCTTTTGACCTTCGAGTGCTTTATTCCCATTGTTTTCAGTTGATAACATCCAAGAACATAAAGTAATATTTCGAGAGTCTGGCGACAGTAGTGAGACAAGTATAAACAAACTTAACTCTTTAGTTACCATACCCCACCTTTATGAATTTCCTGCCATTCAGGGTGACTGCCTGAACAACACTTTGTTGGATGTGTCATGAACTCAAATGTGTGAGATCACTGGCAGGTCCAATTCAGATGTCAAAATGACTGCAAGCAATGATGAAATTTATTTCTATCTTTCCATTTACACAGTCCTCCCACTGCAATGTAAATATTTGCTTGTCTGAAGTTCCTCAGCAGTTTGTAATCATAATTTAAAAAAACAAGGGGAATTAGCTCTTGTATTCTTTGCTGAAACAAAAGGCAATTAGTGTAACATGTTATTGTGGCCAAATCAGCAACTCTCATTTTTCCTTCCTTTTTAAAGAGTAGACCATCAAAATCTGCATATCCTCAGTCTCATTCTCTGAGAAACAGCCTTGGCAAGGATAATGGT